ATAGGTACATTTTATACAAATTAGTTTGATGGTAGAGAACAAAGTTATTAGTATACAGCCTTACTGTTTTTGTCGTTCATATAAATTAAATTTTGCCTTCTTAGCCACTGCTGTTACGGTACCGCCTGCAAAACTGACGCGGTCCGCATTCAATCTGGGAAATGAATACAACAGAATATTATTTAGGAATTCGTTACTACCTACTCCTATTAAATGTCCAGTTAAATTTTGAATTAGGTAAAACCTTAGACGAAGTCGACTTATAAAATATGTAACCGAAAAGTGGACGTTACTTTAAAGTTTAAATAAATGTGGATCTCTGCCTCGGAGACAGAAGGTTAGACAGTCATGAAGCTGTGATAAAATGAGTTTCCGTGGTAGGTAACTAGGTAGGTACTTATTAAAACAACTATAACAGGCTTAGGTACCTAAGGTATTTCTGTACTTCTTTCTGGTGTTCAATATCTATACTGATTTCTGCAAGCAATAAACATTTGTTTTTAGTAATAAACTAAAATTTTAAAAAACATTAGTATACGAATAACCAGTAGTAAATAAGCAAAAATTTCTCACGAGAATCGGATTCCGTAGATGGCGTGTCGAACGCTGCGAATACTTCCGAAGGGTAAGATATTCGATGTTCCGGTTTAACAGGTTTCTTGCGAAGTTCCTTGTCTAAGTCAGCCTCAAGACAATAATCGCCTTGGATTAATCTGAAGAGAAAGATCTTAAAGATCCATTCGATTTCGGTATGGCTAGTCTGCTCAACTTGACTACTCTACTACGAACTCTATTATAGTTTACAAGTGTAGGTAAAATATACTTTCTATATGCAAAACATATCTACTATAATTTCTGACCCCTGGTAGACTTTTCAGTAAATTTCAATTCGGAAGATCGCAGTGAACTCGATCGCGGTCCGCCATGTCATTTATAACAATGACACGCGAGAATGCGATCGAGCCACAGACATGAGCTCAATCCGAATTGACAGTTACAAAATACCTGTTTCACTATTTTAATCTTAGATCTTCAGATCTCTGTAATATCAGCACAAATGGTACGAACCTCCTAAGATTAAAATCGGAGTCCACCTCTCCAATGTACGGTACATCTGTAAAAGGTAGATAGTAGGGCTGTTCTCGTTTTGCCTTTTCGCTTGCTGTTACCGGTCTAGTCGCTTGTTTATACAAGTACTCTTCGAGTTCGTATTCAAAGTTGTCAGGATCCAAGTCATTTTCGACTTTTTCAGAATGGGCTGAGGGGCTGCGCTCATCCGCACTTTTTACTATTTGTTTATCTATTTCATCTTTATTGCGCATAAATCTGAACAAAATAAGTAATAAGTAATTTTTCTCTTATGTAAATTAGGATCTCCTAAGCTTTGTATCTACAAAGCGATGTATTTTCAGTCCAATCATTGTGAACCAACCTTTGTGTTGACCGTAAATCGGCAGCATTTTCTCCGGCAGTATCTTCTTCGGCAGCATATTCTTCGGCAACATCTTCTCCAACACTAGACGCGTCCTCAATGTGTCCACCTCTACGTCTGTGATCGGCTTGGTGAAATACTTTCTCTAGTATTGCCTGCAGATAGACAATTTAGTAAAGGCACCAATAATTTTAACTACTTAGTTACCTTTTTTTTTGTTGACGGGGGGAAACCTTCGAAAGGCGCCTAGCTTTTTAGTAAACTAAACTACTTAGTTACCTACGATACTATTTTGTGTTTTTAACGTAATACTAAGTAAGTACCCACTTTAGGAGGCATATCTACCTCAAAAAACATTTCTCCTAAGGCGTGAAGATATTCAATGTGTCCATCTAGATACTTGGTAGTATTCTTATTTATTGCTATGTCTTTGCACTCCATATTTAGAATACCGGCATTGTGGAATATGATCCTCTTTGACGGAGATTCGTACCAAGTAGGAACTTCTTCTATATTTTTAAGAGTCTCCCCGCCGCTGATGAGTTGACCAAATGCGACATATTTGAAGGCCATCCACGGTTGCGGTTGCAATAAAATGAAGAATTGTGTGGAACAATCGACATGTCTGCAATTTAATTTGATGAAAGTATTTTTTCAAATTCAGAACAGAGGCCTAAGTACGAGTTTGTTTTACATTCTACGACACCGCGTTCGGCACTCTGATTGGTTGGATGGAGCCGGCCAATCAGAGTGCCAAACACGTACTCGTTTCGATTACTTACTTTAAATGTAAAACCAACTCGTACTAATAGAAACGAAGATAATGAAATGATGGCACAGTAGTGGTCGTGACCACTACTGTGCCATCTTTGCTTATACGAGTACGTGTACTCGTATAAGCAAGAACCTAGTGAAGAGTGTTAATAAAGAAGTTAATTATTACTTATTTTTTACTTATTTAAGTTAAAATAAAGAAATTGGTTCGGTCTTGCTTTACAGAAAGTAACGAAAATTTATGCGAGAGCTAAATTAGTACCTACGTAGATTATTGACGTGGAGTGGAACCTTTACTTTAGTTTGAGGACAAATGTTCTTACCTGCCATCATTGGCCATGCCCAGAACTCCTCGTCGATCATGAGGCACAATAAAGTTTTCACAGTCCAGTCCTGAATCTTTAAGTCCAAATCCACCGCATTGGATCCAACTGTCTTTTACTATACGATGTACTGGAGTACCTGAGTATCCGCACTTCTTTTCCTTACATAGTCGGAGGAAATTTTCACAAGTTCTCGGGGCTATATCACTGTATAACTAGAGAAATTAAATTAAGAAAAGAAGAGAATAGGGGAAAAGTTACCCAATTCGCTATATTGTGTATTCACTTGTACTTTTTTACCAGATAAAAGTTAGATTGCCAG